GGTGCAAAACGCACCGGCCGAGCCGAGCCGAGCCGAGCCGTGCCGAGCCGAGTTTTAGTAGTTGCCCATTTTTGACTCTTTAGAGCAACAGTTTCAGCAATGTTTCACGGGCTTTTTTACTTGATTTTGACGTTCCCGATATGGCTTTGTACATTCTTTTTCTCTCAGGTGGGCAGTTTAGCATCGCATGCGTATAAAGGAAATAGGGATGCCCATGTCACGCCTGATCACAGACTGTAAATCAATTCAGAGCAGTCTTTGCCCCCTGACCTATGACATCAAATCAAAATTTAAGACAAATTAATAATGCAAGAACGAACAGTGCTACGAGCTCGAAATATAATGAGGGGTTAAATTCACTAACCTGCGCAAAATGTATGTCTTAAAAGAGCATTCAAAGATATACTGTACTTTTACGCGCAACCTCAGGCTTAGTTTTACAACTTAAATTTGAATTCTCGGGCTTTTAATTCGCTATGCAAGTCCAATATAAAAGACCTGAAGCCAGTATCAAACCCTACCATTTTTTGACCTATAGCTGCAGATAAAAGTACAGGGCAATAAGTTATAAAATAAGTTATAGATTATGAAATTTCCGGGTTTAGTTCAAAGTGTGATATGACCTGGAACGAAACCAAATTTTAAAACTTTCTGTACCTCGAAGTATGGCCTGAGACTGTAGCCAAAATGAAACAAGCTAGGAACCTGAAGTTTCGGTGCCTTTAAGAAATCAGCAAAGTAGAATATTAATATTATCGAAATAAATACTTTTAGGTTCTGCTGTATTCACTCACTGAAAGCTGACATATAATCGCAAATTCCATTCCTTCTTTGGCAGTCGCAGCTTTTATTACAAAACGACCACTGTAATTGGTCTTGCGTAATTTGCATGTTCAAATTAACCTGTAGGATCGCGAAGAGCGCATGCGCGTTGTCGTACTGCCATCCGGATTGACAATCGTTTCAACCTCGGTTTGTGGCGCACTAAAAAGCGATGAAGTGGTCCTCATTTCCGAAAACAGTTCTGGAAACATGCTTACAAGCTGATCCTTTTGCTCATTCAACATGTTCAAGAATTTTTCCTGAGTTTTGTGCAATACGGCACCGATTGCAGCATCCTAAAATGATATTTTTAGTATGTAGCAGCTGACAAATATTACTAGTGGGGTGCGTAAATATAAGCATGCATCCAGCATGTAAAACTGTCTGATGCACAACAGAACAAACAGCAAAAATCAGTATCCATTCATTTCTAGCTTAAGTTGTTTTCAGCTTGTTCAAAACGCACTATGGCTGAAAACTCGAAAATTTCGATTCGTAACTTGCTCATTGTTATGTTACAGAGCTGAAACCTAATTTGAACCTAAAAATAGAAATTAGCACATAGTGCGAAGCAGATTTCAAAATGGTTATCTAGCATCACTGCATGGAAAGAACCAGCACAACTTCCAGTTTACAGCTTTTTAGTTACTGGATGACAAAATTAGCTGAATTTAGATTTCAGACCAAAGGTCAACACACACTGAGAACAATGTCCCTATAAATTCAGCATCCTAGCCTTTGCATTTTTTGAGCTAAATTACTTGGAGTAACATAAAGTCAATCCACATGGAACAATATGCACAAATAAATACGCACTAGCAAAAACACATCTTCTTTGTAGGGAAACATAGGAATACGTTAGAACCTCAGGATCAGACGAATTCATTAGTGCTTTGGACTTGTCCATAACAATCATCGGCTGTCGGAACCCATCAATATCACCAAACAATCGCTCCGTTTTCTCCTCAATGAGAGCTTCTCGGCCTAGAAAATTCCATATATTAAGCCAAATTATTTATGCATATCACTTCAGAGCGTCGCTTCGAAGACGTTTGAAGTCCATGACAGCAGTGTCCCGAGAAGAATGGCTACTTCCAATTGGGAAATTTACAGTAAGAACTCTGTTGGAGGATAAATAAAGTAGTACGAACGGTTGACTGACTTAGCTGTTACTTTGAGAGCATCGCCTGCTAATCCCACTCGCTGTGGCGTAACAGAGAGAGCAATGAGACATCAGCACCGGAAGTGAAACACTTTTTATCCATTTCTGCCCAAGTTTAAAAAAAAATCTCATAGTAAGATCGAAAAGATGGTGCCTGTAAGCGTGTGTGTTTGATCTGTGACAAAGTAATCAAGTTTAAGCACATTTCATGACTTGAAAATCAAGGAACCAAAGACTAGGAAAAGCGGATACTGAATTTAGAACGCAGTGCAGCAAACAAACAATTTTAAGTCAGTTTCTAAATTACGCAGTTATATCCTGTTTTGTAGCCTAAGACCCACATTCTTAGTTTAAAGCATGGCGTAGTAAAAATTCAACATTCTAGAATTTTAATGGCCACATAAGGCCAACTGACTGCTTTTAAATAACGCGTAAGCGCTGTTTTCGGGGAAGTATTTTGAGCAGTGGAAAAACGGCTACATACATAAAACTTAGTGCTCAGCTCTTCATCCCCGTTTATCTTCTTACTTTTGGGGAGAATAAGATGGTCATGAAGAGCTTTGGTTCCTCAGAGTAACAGCTGCATTAATATCGTTTTACGACAGCAAATCGCTGGACTGTCGGGCGCTAAATTTTCCCTGTGGAATCTTTGTGCTGGAAAAAAATATATTGACTACTATAAACTGGTTTTGGCCAGAGAAGATGGAAGAGGACGAAGGTTACATGCCCCATTTGTAGCACTTACCATTAGCAATTTCAGTCTTCCTCGTACTTTGATTACATTCAATTTTCAACTTCCTTCGGCATGTTTTCGTTAGCTCTTCCTGACCATCTGCTGACAAGATGTGAAATTCCGTGACGTGAACTTTACATCCATCCGTTTCATCAACCTCGTCAAACTAAAACAGCGCTGAATGATGAAAAGATCAGTTTGAACATCAAACAAAATTAGGGACAATTCTCGAATTCTGGGAAATGACAGCCTCTAAAACTTTGTGAGTGCACAAGAAGGAAGTAGCTTTTCCCAGTAAAATAATGCTGAGGACGGTGTTTCTGGCAAGACCATGGAGTACAGGATGATTTTTTTACGTAAAGTTATATTCGTAATTGAACGTGTTCGCGTTCAGTTCAGACAGAGTGAGAATTTGTTTGTTGTGGTAATGATTGTTGTTGTTATTGTTGTTGCTGTTATTGTTGTTGTTGTTGTTGCTGTTGTTGTTGTTGTTGCTGCTGCTGTTGCTGTTGCATGTTGTTAAGTAGACACAGCACAAGCTACCGTCTCGGACGGATTTAAAAAGCGCTTCGTGTGGCGGGACCCAAAAATTAAAAAAAAAAGACAAAAAATTACTTAGTTACCTTGTGTTTGTTTACGGATGAACAGACCACTGCATGCTCTTAGTAACAAACTGCAGAAAGGCGCGGATCATCCCGCAATGTGCAGAGGCGGCTAGCAAAAATCAGTGGAATACAGAAATAGTTTGAAAAAATTATAGTTACTGTCCATTTTTGTGACTGAATTTAAACATATTCAGTCATCATAACCATATAGAGGACCCCATCCCCCCATCTCTCCCGGATTTTCCCCCTCTCCCTTTCCTTTTTCTGAAAAAAAAAAAAAAAAAAAAAAAAACACTTAGCAAAAAATCCGATTTCAGAGAAAATATGTTTGTTAAAAAAACTTGTGGCCAGCACTGTATGCCGTTCATCCAATTTCAGATTTTATTTCCATGGTTAACTAACTAGTCAATAATTATATGCTAGTCAAAAAAGGAAAAAGTTATGGCAGTTATCAAGAGACCCGCGCCTTTCTGCGGTTTGTTACTACGAGCGTGCAGTGGTCTGTTAATCTGTCTAGAATTCCGACTTTTAGCTTTCGTTGTTATGCAGTTAAGTACGCAACAAATAGATAGGCAGACAAACACAACATACACACACACACACACACACAGAGTATACAACATCTTTATAATTCCACTATGATGCGTTTTTCAGTGAAGAAAATCACTGATGCAAAAACGCACCAAACAAAAATACTCAGGGAACTATTCTTACAATTAATTTCAAATCGTTTGGATGATTGAGAAAAAGCAACAGCAAACACGGACAGGCCCATAACTAGCAAAAACAGCTATTATTCAACGCACATATACAAATAGTTTTTTTCAAATAAGTTGAAACTAGTAATGTAAAAACAGAAATTTCTTGATCGACGAGGACTAGATTTTTTGACCAAAATCGTGGGCTCAGATGTGTCTTAATGGAACAAGTAAAAACCTCTTTTACGTCGAGTAGCGTACCGCCATGTAGATCAACGGCTAGTGATGGTGATAGCTTTTGAATAAGGGATTCAGCTGGAACTACAGCCATCCAAATATTAGCTGAGACAGCGGCAGACTCTAGAACTTTTTCAGACCAAATGCCAAGTTCCGCTCACCCTGCAAATTTGCATAAATGCATGACTATTTTAAATTTTTAGGTTTTGGTACTTTGAACAGGTGATGGGTGACTGTAGTGGTTTTGAAAGAAAGAACTTTTTAGGTTGCGAATTCTTTTGCTTTTAGTTATTTAAGCGTGGGGGGTGTGCATCAGCGAATGGCAGGTGAATGAAAGACGAGTCTGGGGCAGCAAGACAAGACGCAAATTAACACTTACCGACTAAAAAATATCGCATTCGAAAAATTAATCTTAGATGCATAGCGCTATTGCTGCTCCTACTGCTGCACGGTTATCGAAAATTTGCGCTCTAAAATGACTGAAGAATCTGCAAGTGCCAAATTCCCATGCTATCACTAATTCTGGGTGGGTTCTTTTCACATATCAGCTTTAAATATCAGTTATTTAATTTCTCCGCTGCTTTTCCAGGGAATTGACAGCTAGCCTCCCTCCAAATCGACAAACTTATAGCCCGCTCTGAAACAGCACAAACATCCACATTGCATCTTCTTCAGTAAGCTGCCTTTTATCCTATACAGATTGAGCTGTGCAAAACTCCGATAGCGACAACAAACAGCCAGCCACCCCAAGCGCCACTTGCGGCGTACAGGCTGATCGATAAAATACGACAGTACTGGCACGGCATTTATAAACCACCATGTGTACATGCAGTGAGAAGCAGGAGTGCCGTTGTGCCTCATTTTTGTCAAGGAGACATTGAAAATACCTGCGTGGAATGCGGCGGAAAGTTTAGTTGGAGAGACCTGCTTAGTCAACGGATGCACAGTGTATTCAAAAGAGTGTCAACTAAACAGGAAAAGCGCAAGACCAATAGGGAAGTGTTAAAGTGAGTTGTAAAAACGAAAATCTTCATATGAAATAAGCTAAGATTTATCAAATTCGACTGGACCAAGGCAAAAATATGAAAAAGCATCATACTGATCGAAGATAGCTTGAAAATGCAATCTACTCGTTTTATCAAAATCCCTCGCTATCTGAATAGACTAAATGCAGAAATTAAAGTACTAGGCAAATGAGCTACTACATGTACAAACAAAAATAATGTAGACATGGACAAAAGAATCCAGAAAAATGGAGAACAGAAGAAATCCACAGGGCATAATTAGAAGAAATGCATGTGGTGTAGCAGTAAGCGAGAAGAGCAAGGCAAGTACTAATGATCCAAATCAATCAATGTTCATGATGTAAGTGAACATTTTTAAATTGAAATGTTTTCAGCAGAATGTCTGGACGGATGGGTAGATGGATGGGAGAGCATCTGCACGAAACAGAACGCTACTGAAAAAATTAGGTTTGAATGTTTGGATGAGCTGTGCCAAAATAGTGCATTCCCGCACTGATGGCTTTCCTATTTCCGTTACAATCAACAAAACTACAGAATTTCACTAGTCCGCCGATCATCTTTCTCTGGGTCGGTTAATCAAACAGCTATTCGTTCATCAATCAATAGCTTGGACCAATTAATCAGCCCCGTTAATTCTTTATCATTACAATAGGTACACGAAAACCCCCATCAAGTGTACAGTTTCACTGCTTTCAACAGTTCATAGTCAAAAAGATGCGCCGCACTGGCGCTCTTCAAACATCTACAATAACAGCAGTGGCTCAGTCTCTGGTAACATTATGTTGTTTTACTGACACTGTCAGTTTGTTACTTTCTAATTTTATAAGTTGGCTGTAATTTAGCTTCGATAAACTGACTGCAGTCCGATTTCTTTTTTATGGTGAAAAATCCAAACGCCTAGATTTATGACTGCCTGTAGGCTGAAAAATCCGTGCATCTCAAATCTATCGTCTTAGTGCTATGAATAATATTAGAGCCACTACAAAGAACCAGCGACTGTGCAGCACCGCTTGGAAAAATGCTGAAAAAAGAGCGATTAAAAATTTTAAATGGTCCTCATTGCCTGTTTAATTTTAGAAGACACAATAAAGGTTGTTACTGACGAGGATTAGTAGTGAGGATCAGGACCTGAAAACACATGCGTGATTTTTAATTATAACAAAACGGGAGGCTGGAATGCACCAGGAATTTCCTTCAAGTTTGTTTCATTTTTTTTTTTTTGACTGCTACGAAGCATTTGATAGTTGCATTCTGAATGCCGTTCTTCATGCCCGTGTAAAATTACAGCATTAATGGGATGTCGAAAAATTTTCGGCACTTAAACTGGCATACCTCCGTTCGTCACTCTTATCTCGCAAGTCAGCCACGGATTACATAAGGCAAAATGATTTATAACGCCCAAACATTTACGAAGTACCTGTGCATGACTTTCCATGGAATAGGCCGGAAACGACGTCTAAGCTGTAACACCAATAAACCCAGTTATTTTACTTTTACCGGACGACAGAATTCTTCGCTGCGAACACTGCTCTTGAAATAAGAGGATGTTGCTGTAGAAGTCTGACACACAAAGAAGGGAGATGGGCTTGAGAATTAGAGCTGACAAACAATGCCTGCAGGCAAATTGGAGGATGAGTTGGGAAGAAGCCGACAGTTGCTTCTGCCCGGTTCATGAAGTCACAGTCTCTAACTGTGATTTACGTGTAGAAAGACTATCATCTGGCACAAATCATACAACATGGCAGACCTCTCCAAACACCGAATATAAAGGCGAATGTCAGCATCTCAGTAACTTCGTGTTAAAAGCGATGGCATATATAAGCAAAACGTAAACGAGGGGAGGAGGTGGAAAAGACTCGATTGCTGCTGACGCTAGCCTTCCAACAGTCTGATACTTTAAGTTGAACTACTGTTCCACCATTATGCTCTTTCTTGCCGTCAATAGCTGACAACTTATAACTTATCCTCTATTCTCGCTCCTACATTTGCCACTTGACTCATATGACTATGTACAGATATTAAAGCGACTCTTTTCATTTTATTTAAGGATTTTCAGTGTTCTTTTGACATTGCCTGGGCACCATTCAATATTCACTTTGTCCATTTGTGGCCTCTTATTTTGCTACATTCCAGGCCAGCTGATCTCTTAGGCGACATTTCTTGGATAACATTATTCCCGTAGTAGACCGGAACCAGACAACTTCAGTGGAGCTGAGCCTCAACTTGCCAATGCCTATCACGGTCGTTACATGGCTCGTTGGTCCACTGCTAACCTTTTCCTCAGCAAAACAAGAATTCCACGCTTCACTTGCATACAACCGGACTGATAATACAGTGGAACTGGAAAGTGCTACTCCAAACTCGATGCCACGCTAAAGCTGGAAAAGATATTACATGGCAAGCAGACGGCAATTCACCTTGCTTTTTTCCTACTGCTTGCTTCCATGTTGGAAATAATTACATGCCCCACCACAATGAAGAATAACCTAGGTACACCAGTACTGTCGGTACGGCCATACATTTCTGCATAATTTTATTCTGTAGAAATATACGGGATGAAACTACGGTATTACCGTTAGAAAACTTGATGCACTTGTAAGCAGGGCTCACGCCTTGGCAGAAGCTTATTTTATGCTTGGCGGCTCACACATGAACAACAAACATTTTCAGAAATTTTTTTTTTTTTTTTTTTTTTTTGGGGGGGGGGGGGGGGGGGGG